GCTCCGCGCCGGCAGCGCCCGGGGGATGCTGATGCTCCGGCTCCTCGCCGCAGGGCACCGCACCCCGGAGGGAGGAGGGTACGTCTGCTGCGCTGTTTTCCATCGGAAATCCAGAGCCTGGATGGGAAACTTGCGTTCCGTTTCTCTTTAACGTGGAACTGATGCCTGCGGCGTAGGGATGCGGGAGCGGGGGAAGAGCCCGCGTGCCAATCCCCGCTCTGCCTTTCGCTTTAAAAGGTCCGGATCCTCCTGGTCATCTGACTCAGGTCAAGCAGGACTTTCCGCTGCCAACAGCCGGCGGATCCCACCGGAGCATCTCCCCGCGCCGGCTGCTGCCCCCCGGCAGGGGGGCGGGAGGATCCTGCAGTCCCTGGAAGGCTGAGAGGTAAAATATTCCCAGCTCGGTTTCTCCTTCTCTTTCCCTTCCCCGCAAGGTTAATGGAATCCTGGAGGTTTGCAGGGGTCTGCTGAGGTGGATGGCGTTGATTCCCAGGCCATGCCGGCACAGATTCCCAGGCCATGCTGGCACTGGTTCCCAGGCCGTGGTGCCTGGTTTGCCACTGCCAGCTGGGGAGCCCCACAGATGGTTAATGCCCACCCCACCGCACAGCCCCTGAGATCCCAAACAGCCGGGACGCTCAGGCCACGAGAACCCACTGAGACCCCAAAAAAACCCCACAGAGCCCCCTGAGACCCCAAACAGCCGGGATGCTCAGACCTGGAGAGTGATGCCACTGCCCTGAGGAGTGAGGTGAAGGCATCCAGGCAGGGTGGGGGGATCGATGGATGCAGCCAGGGGGCCACAGCCAGAGCTGCCCGATCCAAGGGGGATGGCAGGGGATTGGGCTTGGACGTGCCATGCACTGCAGCTCTCACCCCTTCTCTCTGCCTGTGCCCTGCCTGCAGGCTGGTCCCCCCCCATGGATCACCTCCCGCCATGAGCACCGACGCCGAGCAGCTCCTGGCGGGGGCCCAGGCGGCCGCCGTGCCCCTCTGGACCGTATCCAGCTGGGCCGGCTCCGAGATGCCCCCCAACAGCAGCGCGGCGGCGGGAGAGGCCAGGCGGCAGCAGGGTACGGCGGAGCAGGGAGGGACGGCGGGCGAGATCGCGGGGATGGTGGTGATCCAGTGTATCTACGCCCTGGTGTGCCTGCTGGGGCTGCTGGGCAACTCCCTGGTCATCTTCGTCATCCTGCGCTACGCCAAGATGAAGACGGCCACCAACATCTACCTGCTCAACCTGGCCATCGCCGACGAGCTCTTCATGCTCAGCATCCCCTTCGTGGCCACCTCGGCCGCGCTGCACCACTGGCCCTTCGGCCGGGCGCTGTGCCGCACCGTGCTGGGCGTGGACGGGCTCAACATGTTCACCAGCGTCTTCTGCCTGACGGTGCTCAGCCTGGACCGCTACATCGCCGTGGTGCACCCGCTGCGGGCGGCCACCTACCGCCGCCCCAGGGTGGCCAAGATGGTCAACGGCGGCGTGTGGCTCCTCTCCCTGCTCGTGGCCTCGCCCATCCCCGTCTTCGCCGGCACGGCGGCCACCCGCGACGGCCAGGCCGTGGCCTGCAACCTGCTGTGGCCCAGCCCGGCCTGGTCGGCCGCTTTCGTGGTGTACACCACCCTGCTGGGGTTCCTGCTGCCCGTGTCGGCCATGGGGCTGTGCTACCTGCTCATCGTGGGCAAGATGCGGGCGGTGGCGCAGCGGGTGGGCTGGGAGCAGCGCCGGCGCTCCGAGGGCAAGCTGACGCGCCTGGTGCTCATGGTGGTGGCCGTGTTCGTGGTGTGCTGGATGCCCTTCTACGTGGTGCAGCTGGTCAACCTCCTGCTGCCCGGCCGCCTGGACGCCACGGTCAACAACGCCTCCCTCATCCTCAGCTACTCCAACAGCTGCGCCAACCCCATCCTGTACGGGTTCCTCTCCGAGAATTTCCGGCACTCCTTCCACGGCGTGCTGCGGCGCTGCCTGGACGCCAGCCTGTGCTGCTGCCACGCCGGGGACAGGGACGGCGACGAGGACGAGGACGAGGAGGAGCCCCTCGACTACTGCGCCATCCCCCGGGGGGACGACAAGGGGAAGGGCTGCGTGTGCCCCCCCCTGCCCTGCCAGCAGGACCCCCTGCACCCCCAGCCCTGCTGCAAGCCCGGGCCCCTCCTCACAAAGACCACCACCTTCTAGGGGCCCCCCACGCCGTGCCGGCCTTGGGGATGGAAGGGGATCCCGGAGGGAGAGGGGACGGACGCAGTGCCCACCCCGCCGGCCCCGCCTGTGCTGTGCAGTTCCCGAAATAAAAAGCCATAAGACTGGCCTGGGATACCGTGAATTCCATCGACCGAGTCATTATTGCCGCTCCCTTCGGCACCCAGGAGCCTTGGCTGGGATGGGGAGGATCCCCAAATGCCACTTGGCTGGGATGGGGAGGATCCCCAAATGCCACTGGGGTTTATTAACCTGCCCCTCCAGATTAATAAATAACAAGGTCCTGTTCCTTCCCAAGACGTGCCCTGAGAGACAGGGAAAAGTCCCAAAGCCCATCAGCCCTGCCACGTCTATAGCCGAGTGAGGTCCCACCAACAGTCACTCCCACTGCCCCTCAGGCTCCCAGGATTTTAGCATGCACTGGACCAAACTGGATTTGATGTGCCAAATCCTGGGTAAACTCGAGACCCCCCCCAGGAACTCGGGGTGAGGAACAGCACGGGGGTGACACCGGCTGGGCAGCATCGAGGTCTCATTAAATGAGCCATTTCCAGCTTATTTGGGTTTATTTGGGGTTTAACTTTGTCCTTTTCATGTTGTTCTTGTCCATTATTTACGGTTCATTCCTTCTATTATAATCCTACCGGGGAAATAACAGGCCGGGCACGTTTTCAGCCCTGAATGCTCCTGGGTTTTTTTGGTGGCTCTGGGAGCTCGGTGAGGAAAACCAGTCATTTTTCTGGGAAGGGGAGAAAGAATATTTCCTCAACAGCTTTCTATAAACCAGACTGTAAAAGCTTTATTGGTCTCCACGCAGGATCACTGCGTGACATCACGGAGGGTACAATTCCAATAAATAAATAAGTATTTACAAACGTGCCGGGGGGGGGTTAGAAAACAGGGGAGTAGAACCTTTGGGAGGAATTAAAGACATCTGCGTGTCTCAAACACTTTTTTCATAAGACAAACCACCACAGTGGGAATTTGAGAGAAGCACAGAAGGGGAGGAGCAGGGTTTTTGGGGGTGTGGTGGCAGAACCTCTGACCCGTGTAAGGCACCGGAGGGGCAACCATGACAAACTGACTTTTTGTTTAGCAACAAGCTGAGATTTGAGCCAGGTGAGGGAAAAGGCCGGGAAGAGGCAGCTCCTGCAAGGTGGGATGATGCTTCTTATCAGGCCAGTGTCCTCCCCTGCCAGGAGCTACCCCATAAACCAGAAGGTGCTCATCCCTTCTGACCGGGCATAGCTGGCTGAGGGTCAAACGTGGTCACATCTTAGAAGGGGCCACAAACCATCAAAGACCCCCCCAGGTGCCCCCAGACTCATTTCTGGGGCTCCCACCAGAGGGCTGTGTGTGATCCACGGTGTTGGATCAGGCAGGGGAGGTACCTGGGTGTTCCCACCTGAGCCTGAACGTGTTTTAACCCTTGGAGCTTTGTGTTTTGGGGGCTTCCCCCACCCCTGACGGATCCAGGCTGTGACCATCACACATCAAAAATGGCAACAGTCACATCCCCTCACTGGAGCCACGGGTGGTATCTTTCCACTGTCTGCTCTTATCCTTTCTTTTTCTTTCTTTCTTTCTTCTCCTTATATAGTTTCTTAAGTGACTCCTTTATATTCTCCATTTCCATAGGTAGTGCAAACAGCTCCATCCCTCCTTTCCATTGCAGCCAAATTGTTCTAAAATAAACCCACCACAGTCTTAAATTTGCAATAAATCATTCACTCTAATTCTCTATTGACAAGACCCTCCGTTACCCGGCCCCGGGGGCAACAGCCTTTTAGGAAACCCACAGTTCACACAACTATTTTGATTTTCCTTGGAATTTGCAGCGTTGGTTCAGCGTTCCGGGGGGGGGATGTTGCATGTCAGCGAGTTCAGAGTATGGGGGGGGGGTGTGGAGGAACAGGACCCCCCAGCTCTGACCCCGGGCTGGCCAAACTTCCTGTGGGAAAGCAAACTGCTGCTCTGGGATGATATTTCACTGGCATAAAGCTGTCAGCACCCGCTCCGACGTTCCCACCAGCAGCCGCCGGCTTCACCCCACCAAGGCCGCCGGAGCAGGACCCCCATGGAACGATGGAGCTGGAAAAACACATCCTTTTCCAGATCTTCCCCCAGGCCATGGCTGGAAAATAAGCAGCGGGCAGGATCCTGCCCCGTGGGAATGTTTTGCTGGGAGTTCCAGCATGAATTAGACTCAGGCCCGGGTCAAGGGAAAACAGGAAAAATCCCTGTGGGCAGGAGGGGTCCTAAGTGGGTCGGTAAAAATACCTTGAATGGGTTGAAACGCAGCGAGGGTGGGAAATCAGGGAAGGAATTGGGTGGGGAGCACGAGGCTCCGCGGCGCCACAAACCTTCCCTGCCACGGAAAAACCCAACCCGGCAGTGTCGTGTCCCTGTTTAACCTCCACACCCACCCCTCCCAGAGAGCCCCAAAACAACGTGAGGGAACGGGAATCGGGCTTTTTAGCCCCCGCGGGTGACACTCGGCTGGGTCCACGCTGCCCCCAGTGATTTCAGGTGGGAAGTGCTCAGGGATGGGGCGCGACATGGGGGGGGCCACAGTGCAGACACGGGGGGCAGAGGGGCCAGATAAAGTGCTGCCCACAACACCTTTGCTCCTTCTTCCATCAACAATCAGTTTAAAACAAATTAACCCGACTCCGGGCAAAGGCGGGAGCCTCCCAATCCCGGAAAACCACCCTCTCCAGTCCGGCCCCAGGGGGAGGGTTTGGGGGCCAGGCGACCTTTCCCAGTCCCCACCGAGTCACTCGGGCGGTGCACACCGTTCCAGATGGAGATGTCCCTCCTAGGTTTTCCCTTGGGGCTTCCCCGACCACTGGCTCGGGAAAAGGAAAGCTGAATGCCGGCTGCCGCCTGCGAAGGGGAGCGGGAATGGAGCAGGAACGAACGGAGCAGGAACGGAGCAGCCTCCGAGCCTCCTGCCTTCCTGGCTCTCTGGCGCCAGCATCGCAAGAGCCGGCTGGAAAGCAGCGAGTATTTTTAGAAGTGGGTTGATCACAGCTTTTCCCAAATCATCATTAAAAAATTGCAGCAGGGGCGAGGTGTGTGGGGGGTGTAAATATTACCCAGTCCGGTCCACCTCCCTCTCTCCGTCCTGGCCGGAGCTCCTACAGTTTCTGTGCGGGGCCGGCACAGCCCGAGGCCACCGGTTGGAGCCCGAGCTCCTTCTCGTGGGGACCCCCGCACTTGTAGTCCATGGTGGCGGGGGGCCGGCAGCGCTTCTTTGCCAGGTGGTACCCCAGAGCCAGCAGGGCCAGGGCGGTCAGCACGGCGCCCACGGCGATGCCCACCAGGGCACCGGGATGGAGCAGATCCGCCTTCGGGGGGGTCCGGCTGGGCTCGGGCGTCCGCGGGACGGCCGTGTCGGGGGGGAGCGTCTGGGGTTCGAAATCGCCCGAGTACGGTCCCTCCGGTTCCTGCTCGGGCACCGGGGCGCAGTCGATGTCGTTGACGAGCCGGTAGCCGGCGGGGCAGTGGCACTGGAAGCCGCCGGGATGGTTGGTGCAGTTGTGCTCGCAGTAGTTCATGTCGCACTCGTCGATGTCCACGCAGAGCTCCTCGTCGTCCAGCACGAAGCCCTCGGGGCACTTGCAGTCCTGGCCGTACTGGTCGCACAGGGGCGGGCACTGGCTGTCGCTGCAGTGCGGCTGGCACCGCTTGGGGTCCCGCGGGTCCACGGCGTAGCCTTCGTAGCACCCGCAGAGGTACCCGTCGGGCACGTCCTCGCAGCTCTGCTCACAGGGCGCCCGGTAGCAGTGGGACTCGCGCTGGCAGTGCCCGTCCACCATCCTGTAGCCGGGGTGGCAGCGGCACTCGAAGCCGCCCATGGTGTTGACGCAGAGCTGCTCGCACAGCCCGGGCTCGCTGGCGCAGTCGTCGTTGTCCTCGCAGGTGCTGCCGTCGGCGCCCAGGTGGTACCCGGCGTCGCACATGCACACGAAGGAGCTGCCGGACACCACGCAGTGCTGCTGGCACGGAGCCCCCGCGCAGGGCGAGCGGCACCCGCGCCCGTCGGGAGCCAGCACGGAGCCGTCGGGGCAGGAGCAGCGCGGCCGGCCCGAGCCCTCGCTGCAGGTGCCCTCGCAGCCGCCGCCGCCCAGGCGGCACGGCCACGCTCCGGGGGCTGCACGGCCCCAGCGCAGCCGCCCGCCCTCGCCGTCCTCGTCGCAGCGCAGCTCCAGCCCCAGGGCGGGCACCGAGGCCACGCTGCGCGGCGGCAGCGCCAGGAATTCCCCTCCGCGGGCGCCGAAAGGGGTGGCGTAGCTGACGGTGAGCCCCTCGGCGGGCGGCAGGAGGGGGCAGCTGCTGCCGTAGTTGTACTCGCAGAGGAAGCCGTCGGCGGGGTCCTCGCAGCGCCGCTCCTCCCAGAGCAGCTCCCGCGACACGGTCACGCAGCGCTCGCCGCAGCGCGGCCCCGAGGGCGCCCAGTTGGTGTAGTCCGTGCGGTTGTCCCGGGTGACCCAGCGGAAGCCGCGGAGCCGCAGGGAGGGCTCGGTGCAGCGCAGCGAGGGCGCCAGGCTGAGCCCCAGCCACAGGCGCCCGCCGCGGCTCTGCAGCAGCAGCGCGATCGCCTCCTCGGCCACGGTGGAGCGCACGGTCATGAGGTGCCCCCCGCCCCGCTCGCACTCCGCGCTCGCCGCCGCGAACGGCCGCGACCCCCAGAACACGGCGAAACACGCGTGCTGCAGGCACTGCGCGCCCGACGGGGCGAGCGGCCCCTGTTCCCCCTGCTCTCCCGGCTGGCCCAGCCCCATCCCGAGCAGCAGCAGCAGCGGCAGCAGCAGCGGGAGCCGCCGCATGGCCGGCGGAGGGGGCGGCCGGCGCCGCCGCGGAGCTCTGGCATGGCCCAGCCCGCCGCTCGCCCCCTTTATAGCCGCCCGCCCGCCCGCCCCGTCGGGGGAAGGAAGCGCCTCCGGGGACGGGGAGTGATTGCGGCGGGTGAATCCCGGCCAGACGCGGCCCCCCCACACACACCTCCCACCCGCCCACGCCGGCCCCGGGCCCCCCCTCCCGCATCCTCCCCACGGCTCCTCCCCGGCTGGGCCCGCCCGGGAGCAGCGGGAGGGGCGGGAGCCGAGCGGGTTATCCCGCGGGATGGACGGGGCAGCGCTCCGGGGAGCCGGCTGGCGCTGGGCACGGCCGGCAAAAACGGGGCTTCTCCTGGGGCAAAGGGGGAAACGGCAACTGCATTTCGCAAAAGGGCACCTCGGGATGGGAGTCGCAGCGGGTGAACCCCGCTGGGATCGTCACCGGGCTGGGATCATCATCCAAATGGGGTCATCACCCCAGTGGGGTCATCACCCGGGTTGTGCAGCAGCCACGTCACCCTGTGCTGGGCACTGCTGAGCTCACACCTCAAATCCTGCCTCCAGGTTTGGATTCCGCGTGAAAACAAGGACATTAAGGGGCAGAGAGCACCTCCAGAGAAGGGAATGCAGCTGGGGAAGGGCCTGGAGCACCAGGAGCAGCTGAGCGAGCTGGGGTGGGGGGCTCAGCCTGGAGAAAAGGAGGCTCAGGGGGACCTTCTCGCTCCCAAAAACTCCCTGACAGGAGGGGGGAGGCAGGTGAGGGTCAGGCTCTGCTCCCAGGGGACAAGGGCAGGATGAGAGGAAACGGCCTCAAACTGTGCCAGGGGAGGTTAAGGTTGGATATTCAGAAAATTTCTTTAATAAATAATTTAAACACCAATAATAAATTTATATATATATGTTGATAAATTATTATATATAATTTATATAGTTATATGAATGATATTATTATAATAACTGGTATTAATCTTATTAAGCATTATTATTACCCTTTTCCCCACAGCCTCCTCCCAGGGCACCAGGGAGTCTCTCTCCTGGGATATCATCTCCCTTTCCCTGTGGGCACCTCCAGCCATCCCGTTCCCTGTGTTATTTTTGGGGGAGCTATCTCTGCTGCCAGGACACAGCCAGGAGCAAAGTAAAAATGAAAAGCAAACATCCAGAGCTTCTCCACTCCAAAGAAAAGGTATCTGACCCCTTTTTGTTTTTAGTTCCGAAATGCTCGGTCACTGCAATTACCCCTCGGGATCCCCCACGGAGCAGCAAATCCCGAGTTCCTCGGCTCATCCCAAGGAATTCACTTCGTTAAAACTTCATTTATTGTTTATTAAACTCCTGTGGTTTGTCTTGTCCTCTTCCCACCCCGTGTGGGTCCCACAGCTCACGTGAGGTTGTGGGGGAAAAGGGAACACAGGGAAAAGGGAACATGGGGGAAAGGGTAATAAAAATGCTCAATAACACAAAAAATAAATTATTATCTCTCATTTCATCCCCTTGAAGGTTTCAGCTCTGCCCACACGCTTGGGAAATCAACGCCCATGGGGTTTAACTCCAGAGGCAGGGATGCAGCCCAAGGAGAAAGGCCGGAGGGACAGATTAGTGTCCACGTGTGTGACCTTGCAGTGGCCATTCCTGGGGTAAAGAATCCATCCAAGCAGAGTTCAGCCGCCCTCCATCCCCTCAAAACGAGGACAGGATCATTCCCAGGATTTCCCTGGAGAGTTGGGTAACACTGACCTTTCTTGGCTTTAGTAAAACCTCTTGCTTCCCCAGTTTTCACTTCAGGATTTTCAATTCTTCTTCTTTTACATTTTTTTTTTTTTTTTAAGAAGCAAACCAGCAAAATAAGGGGGGAATTCTGGGGCAAACAACAAAAAAATGAAAGAACACCAAATTTAATAGGTAGGTAGAAAAGAAAAAAAGAAAAAAACCAACCACAATAGATTTTTGGTTTGTTACTTTTTTTTTTTTTTAAAGCAACTGTAAAACCAGATTAAAAAAAAATTCCTTGTCAAGGCTGCGAGATGGGAAATATTTCCAGGAAAAAATACGGTCCTGCCAAACAATGACCCCACACTGGTGTCCTTGCCCCACCACCAACATTTGCGGGGACGACCTTTGCCGCTAAACAGATAATTGGGGCGGGAGGAACAAGATTAATCATGTTTTAATAATTCCCTTTCTATGCCGATGAACCTTCCCCTCGGGCTGCCTCCAGCCCCGGGGCTGACTCAGGGTGCCAGAAATGCCCTTCCTGCTGGGAGGCTGCTTTTCCTCCCCCCCAAAGCCATTAATCACGTTCCTCTGCCACACAAAGCCCTTGCGAGATGTTCCCGGAGCCGATAACGGGATGGGGACCTTTCCCTTTCCCTTCGGCCCTGACTCATCCCTGTCACTGTCACCCCGTGGGCAGAGGGACGCTGGGAGGGGGTGCTTGCAATTGTTGTCCTGACCTGCAGGATTTTTGCCTTCTTTGCGGGGTTTTGGAGATGAGGTTCCTCAGTTGGAATGCTGGCAGTTATCCACGGGGGAATAGAATGCAGTGGAACATAAAATCATAATATAGTGTAATGTAATTATTATCACAGAATAACAGCATCAGAAATGCTTTCATCCTATTATTTCACCCCTTAAAAGCAGGTCCCTACCCTCATAAAGAGCTGTGCTGAAACCAGAGGGACTGCTCACGGATTCAGGACCTTGATCATGGGATTAGGACCTTACTTGTGGTTTTAGGAGCTTGGTCATGGTCTTAGGACCTTGCTAGTGGGTTTAGGTCCTTGCTTGTGGGCTTGGGACCTTCCTCATGGTTTTAGGAACTTGTTCATGTGTTTGGGACTTTCCTCGTGGGCTTAGGAAGTTGCTCACGGGTTCAGGAACTTGCTCATGGGTTTAGGATCCAGCCAAGCCCATCCCAGTGCCCCCACGCCGTGGCCTTGGGGTAGGGATGAAGGGAAAGGGCTCGCCCAGGATGGCAGTGCCTGGGAAAGGCTGAGATTCCACGTGGGCTGAGCCCTGGCAGAGGATTTGGGAGCACCATCCCACTGCTGTGGGAAACACAAGGATTCCAAGCACCAGGCCAACAGATTTTTATGAGTATATTTATTAAAAACCAGTGAAGACAGTTTCTGTTCGGGTTTTATTGGTGTTTCATGCAAAAAGTAACTTACAGCCTTATTCCACAGGTGGGAAAACCCATTCCTTTGAGTCCAAGCGTTTAATTCTGGCCCAGGAAAATAAAACAACCAACCATGAGAAAAAAAAAACACAACAACATGGACCAGGATGAATGTCCTGTATCCTCTGTAAGACAGGGCCCCAAACTACCCAGTCCCATTCCTATTTGCACATCAGGAAATATCCCACCAGAGAGAATCCAAACTAAACCCCAGCACAAAGAAGTGTCGGACCCACCACCACATTCCACTGGAATATGCAGAGGTTGCAACAGGAATGGGGATTACCACTTTTTTTCTGGAATAAATAACACACCTCAGGTTTGTACCAGCTCTGATCCCACCCTTAGGCTTCCTTTCCCCTGGTTTATTCTAGTATATCCCATGGGCACCTTAATAAAAACTAAGGCTGTCTTTTCCCACAGATCCCGAGTCGGCATCATCTGATGTGTGTTGGTTGTCCCCCTGACTCTGGGGGGGTAATTAATCTGCCTAATTTGCTCACTGCTGGCTCGGATAATGCAGACAGGGGAGGCATTTTCTGTAGGATTTCCAAGAATCCCACTGCTGCATTCTCCCCCTTCTCCAGCCGCCATGCAGAGAAAAAGAAAGCGCAGACAGAACACAGAAAACATTCCTATCAGCTGCATTTTCCTGTGGTGTGTTTTCACCTCACAATGGAGCCCCAAAGACGAAAAAATAACAGCAGGAAAGGGTTTTCCTCCATGCTTGGAAGAACAGGATGCAGGTCGCTGCCTACTGCAAACTCCTTTGTGTTCAATTCCCACTCCTGGAGCAATTAAGCCTCGAGGACAATAAACCCAGCAGAAACTTCAGGAAGCTGCTGTACCCTTGAAATCACATGTCAGTTCTTTTCTAGCACCTTGTTTTGCCCTGCAGAGCATGGACAGACCAGGAAGGGATGCTGCTGGGTGGGAAGCAGGTCCCTGTGCCCCTCAGGATTTTGGGGAGGGATTCCTGATGAAACAGCTGGAAGAGGCTTCGCTGTCACGAGGGGATCCACGAAGCTGGGGAAGTACCTGGGGAGCAACTTTGCCCTGAGAAAGCATTTACTGCAGAGTTACAGGTTTTACACACGACAAGGAGCAAATGTCCAACGTCCAGAGTGTTCCTTAGGTGGGGAGGGAGAAAGGGAGGGAGGGAAAACACGCTCAGCCTGGAGCCCAAGCAGCCAGGAAGGGATCCTACCCAAAAAGAATGATCCAACAGGAAAAGTCCGGCCTCCCATCCGGTTGCAGCGAAGGAGAGCATTGTTTTCTGTGTTTTGCAAGTGGATTTAGGCAGGATACGCTGGAAATGGGTAGGTGGCTCTTCCAAACACAGCTTTTCCTACCTTTTTTTCCATACAGGTGCTGCCTTGGCCCCTTGCTGAGCAGTTTTCCCAGTGCTGAGGTGACATATTTGTAATAAAAACCCCAAACCAAAACATTCAAGCCCACGCTGCTTGTGTCTGCAGGGGCCAGTTCTCACCCCGACGAGACGCATCCGAATTTCAAGCCCTTTTCCGAGAGAACAAAGAGAATCCAAGGCTGGAATGCAGCCTTGGGGGGGGGGAAGTAATGCTTGGGGAGGGTGGAGGAGGGCTGCAGGAGAACTCGAAAGGAGCTGTTGGCCTTTAGGAGTCCGAACCATTAGGTGTAATTCGCCTTTTGGAAGCACGGGCGAGGTCCCGAAGAGGTGAGGAGAAGCCCTGGTAGGCAAATCCCACCCCATTCCTTCTCCCCCCCCCTCAGTTAACGCTTCCCTTGGAGCAGCAGGACATCACCACCCAGCCGCACGCTGAGCAAACAGCATCCCCCTCCCCACCTCTCTCTTTTACTTCCACTTTCGATCCCCCCGCTCTCCCCGCCTCCCTCCTACCTGCGCTCCCCGCCCTGCCCGCGGCTCTCGGGCTGCTCGGGCACCCAGCAATAATTATCCGCCGCGCTCTTGGCCGGCCGCTTCTCCTTCTTGGCGGCCCTCCTCCTGCAAGCCACGAGGGCCAGGGCGAAGGCCAGCAGGAGCAGGATGGCCACCAGGCTGCCCAGGATGTAGTAGAGGAGCAGGCGGGGGCCGTCGGCGCTGTGCTCCGAGCCGGGGCCCACTCCCTCCTCCGTGGGCGCCGCCGGAGTCGCCCCGGCGGGGATTCCCGCAGTCCGTGGGATGCTCGCGGTCCACGAGGCGCCCGTGCTGCGCGGGGTGCTGGCGGCCCACGAGGGGCCCGTGCTCCGCGGGACGCTGGTGGTCCCCGGGGGGCTGTCGGGGACCTCCGCGGGCTCCTCTCCGGCGGTGGCTGCGGGGCGGCAGCCGCGTCCTCCCCCCTCCTCCTCCTCCTCCTCCGGGACGAAGCCGGGCGGGCACACGCACTCGTAGCCCCCGGGCAGGTTGCGGCAGGGCCCGGGGCAGGGATCCCGCAGGCACTCGTCCACATCCAGGCAGGAATCCCCGCCCGGCTGGCGCTGGTAGCCGGGCCGGCAGGCGCAGCTGAAGGAGCCGGGCACGTTGATGCAGAGCTGCGGGCACACCCCGGGCTGGGCACACTCGTCCAGGTCGTGGCAGTGGAGGCCACCAGGCCCCGCCGGGAGGTAGCCGGGCGGGCACAGGCACACGAAGCCCCCGGGAGTGTTGTGACACTGGTGCTGGCACGGCCCGGACAGACACTCATCCACGTCCAGGCAGCTCCGGCCGTCGGGGGCCAGGGCGTATCCGGCCTCGCAGCCGCACTCGATGCCGCCGGGACGGGCCCGGCAGGTGCCCTGGCAGGGGTTGGGATGGCAGGAGTCCTCGGGCACGCAGGAGGCCATGTCGGCAGCCAGGGAGTAGCCGGGGTGGCAGGAGCAGCGCGGGGGCTCCCCGGGCACCTCCAGGCAGCGGTGCTGGCAGCCCCCGTTGCGGTGGGCGCAGGGCACGGGGCACAGGGGCCCAGGGGGGGCCCAGGCGAAGCCCCCTCCGTCCAGCTGCCCCTTGCAGACGGCGAAGGCCGGGCTCCGGCCCCCCTCGCACTCCACCTCCGCCAAGGTGCCGAAGGGAGCCGCCGCCAGCCGGGAGCTGCGCACCCCGAAGGGGGTGGTGTAGGTGACCCGGCCGGGCCCGGCCAGCGGCAGGAGGCCGCACATTCCCTGGAAGCTGAACTTGCAGAGGAAGGCGGGCAGCGGGAGGCGGCAGGGCCGGTCGGCCCAGCCGGCGGGGCCGTGGGGCCCGTGGGGCCGCAGGCTGGCGCAGCGGGCGCTCGTGCAGGTCATCGACGGCTCCGACGCCCACGCCGAGAAGTTGCCGGGCTCCCCGCCGGCCACCCAGGAGAATCCCCGCAGCGGCTCCTGCGGCTGCACGCAGTGTCCCCGCTGCAGCCACAGCCCGATCCAGGCCGGGCCGTGCCCCCCGGCCGCCTCCAGCAGCTCCCGCAGCCGCTCGGCCTCGCCGGGGCTGCCCACGCTGGCCAGGTTGCCGCCGTTGTGCCGGCAGCGCTCCTGGGCGCCCTTCCAGCCCAGCTCATCCCGGTGCAGGGTGTAGCAGGCGTTGTCGGCGCACACCACCTCCACCTCCTCCCCGCCAGAGCCCGGCACCGCCAGCGCCAGCAGCAGCAGCAGCAGCCAGGCCGCGGCCATCCCGGCGGCTGGACGGACGGACACACGGACACGGGGACCAGGAATGCCGGCTCACATCCCCTCGTCCCGCCGAGCTCGCCCTACGCGCATCCTGTACTCCCGGGTCTCCTATTTATCACCGGAGGCCACGGCTTCCTGTAGCGTGGTTCGGCTCCCGCTTGCTTGTTGGTCCCTCGCTGTCTTCCCCTTCCCCCCCGGCACGGCCGGCTCCGAGCTCCCATCCCAAAGTTTCGGCTGCTCTGGCTTGGTGACGCTTTTCTACGGGAAAAACTCACCCCGTTCCTGCTTTTGCTTTTTTTTTTTAAGATGCTGTTGTTTTTCAAGGGCTTGATTTACTCCCTCGCCCGGCAGTCGGTTTTCTAACCCCTAATAGGGTCCAAGAGTTTGCAGGCATGTCTTGCTAAAAGGGGAAGGAAAACAACCGAGCTAAAGAGCCGTGGGATCCCCGGCTATCGGCCTCTAAAGCAGACGGAATATTTGGCGCCGTCTCCCCCCCGCGCACGCGCGACGCTCCCAGCGCATTTTTCCCTCCTTCTCCGTGTGCTTTAAATAGATGGACGAGCCCTGGAATAGGAGCTTGGGTCGTGGGAAGGTCCAGGCAGCCAGGACAGAGCCAAGCTCTGATGCCGCCCCCAGCAAACCCTGGTCAGTGTTGGCATCACACGGGTGAGGGTGGATGGTGGAACTTCGGAACGGTTTGGGCTGGAAGGGACTTCAGAAGTCACCCAGTTCCACCCCCTGCCATGGGCAGGGACGCTTTCCACCATCCCAGGCTGCTCCAAGCCCTGTCCAGCCTGGCCTTGATGCTCTGTTAGCACCTCCCTGATCACTCATGGCAGGAGGAAGGCAGGGTGGCGTCTCCAGCCACGCTGCTCCTGCTGCTTTCCACTGGCTTTTGGGAGACCCTGGGATGAAGGTGAGCTGGTAGGTGCTTTGATGACACATGTCGAGCAATGCCAGCCACTGGAACACGTGGCAGAGCAGGAGGAGGGATAGCAAGTGGCAAAAATGGGTTTAAAAATAGCTCATGGCTGATGGTCCTGCATCCCCAGGAGCTTCTCCTGGAGCTTCCCTCTGGCAGCAGCTCGTTCAGACTTTAACCCCTTGACCTGGGAGTCTGTTGTATCTTTTCCTGCTTGGCAGACACCCATCACAGCCACGAATTCCCTGTTCATTCCAGGATTTGTTGGTTTATCTGGGTCTCGTGTGCTGAGCTGGCTCAGTAACCAGGGAAAGCGAAATGAGGAACCCCCTCATTCACTTCCCTCCTAAACAGAAAAGCTGCCAAAAATCCCACCACTGAACACTGCGGATTTCTGTCCCTGTGCCCCAGACTGGTCCATGCACAGCATTCCTGGGATAGGCCTGGTTGCTGGGATGTCTCCTGGCATCTCCTATCTGAGCAGAGGTCCAGAGATCCACACCTAACACTCCTAACCCAGAGCATTCTGGGTCACAGCCAGCCCAAAAAACTGAAGTGGGAGGAGAAAAAAAAAAAACACCTTGATGCCATTTCAAGTTGGTTTTGT